TGAAAATACTATATATGATTCCAACTATATGACATTCTGGAAAAGGAAAAATTATGGAGACAGTAAAAAGATCAGTGATTGCTAGGAATTCAGGGAGAGGAAGGAAGAAAGGGATGAAAAGGAAGAAGGGATTTTAAGGGCAGTGAAATTTTTTTGTAGGATACCATAATGGTAGGTACATGTCATTCTGTGCCTGTCAAAACCCATAAAATATATAATACAGGGACTGGATTCTAATGTGAACTATGGACTTTAGTTAATAGTAATACAGCCAACCCTTGAACAGCACAGGTCCACTTATACAAGGATTTTTTTTTTATAAATACAGTACAATATTATAAATGTATTTTCTCTTTCTTATGATTTTCTTAATATTTTTTCTCTAGTTTAAGAAAACACTATATAATACATACAACACACAAAATTTGTGTTGACTGCTTATGTTATTAGTCCAGCTTCTAGTCAACAATAAACTATTAAGTTTTTGGGAAGTCAAAAGTTATAGGAAAATTCTCAACCACACTGCCACTTCTAACCCCTACATTATTCATAGGTCAACTATAATTTTAAATAAGCATATACTATTTTAGTTATTTTTTTAAATCTTAAGATAAAAATTCCCTCGATTTTCTAGCACAAACCAGCAAAACATGTCTGCAAAACCACCATCGTTACATCATCTTCTTCCTGTCGCATATAAAATCCTCCTGCCCAAGGCAAATAACTTATAAACTTCACTATGTCATCTCTCTCATCTATACCTTTATCCTCTTCCTCTCTACTGATGTCCTACAATAAGCACCAAACATGTTCAAAATATTTCCATTAAAAATATAAGACACAATACTCATCCCTTGGTCATTACCTCCAGTCCAGCTACCATCCTCTCTCTCACGGGACTTTCAAAAACAAACTGAAGAGTTGTCCTCATTTACTGTTTCTATTTCCTCATTAGTGAACATGCATAACAGGGTTTTTAATACCACCGCCCCAAACCACTGTCACCTTTCTTTTCCCCAGGTAAACCACACCCTTGAGGTTAAATCTGAGAAACAATTTTCAGTCCTTAGCTTTTTGATTTCCTGGCACTAGTGGCCTTTTACTCTAATTTAAAAAATTCTTTCCCCGGGGCACCTGGGTAGCTCAGTCAGCTGGGCATCTGCCTTTAGCTCGGATCATGATCCCAGGGTCCGAGGATGGAGCCCCGCATCAGGCTCCCTGTTCAGGAGGGAGTCTGCTGCTCCCTCTCTCTCTCTGCCCTTCCCCCTACTCATGTTCTCTCTCTCAAATGAATACATAAAATCTTAATAAAAAAAAATACCCACAACACTTATTTCTAAAAAAATAAAAATTATTTCCCCTTTTGAGTTCATCCTGTCACTCTCTTTTGACTTTCCTTCGGACTACTCCATTTTTTTTTTTTTTTTTAAGTAGGCTCACAACCCTGAGATCAAGACCTGAGGTAAGATTAAGAGTCAGATGCTCAACCAAGTGAGCTACACAAGGCCCCCTAACTGCTCCTTAGTCAGCCTGTCCTTAAATGGTTTCATTTCCTCTGAATACTGGCTCAAGCCCCTCTTCTCACTGAACACCACTTACTGGTGTCTAGTCATACGTTCATTCAACCTAAATGTATTAAGCATTTATTATGTAAAAGACACTTTCCCAGGCACTGCTACGTGTTTCTAAGCATCCATATCATATGTTCACTTACATGCTGATACATCCTAATTTATATTTCCAGCTATCATCTTTTTCCTGAGGTTGAGATCTAGATAGTCAGACATACATCCAATTTTCTACCAAAACACAAAAAATTCAGATACTGAAACTGAACTCCTCTTTTGGTTCCCGTTTCTCCCACCACTCTCTTCTCCCCAAGAAAGTTTCAAACCCACTTTCTTCCCTTGGGATCTTATCTCAAAGCACATACTACTAACCATCTACCCCATAACCTAAACAGGAGACAAAAGAACTGTCAATTTTAGTTCTTAACACTCAAATCTATAAGCTTTCTCCATGTTGATTAGTATCACATGGCAAAGAAACCATCCTCCCAGAGGGAATAGAACACAATCTTTTAACTGATCTCCTTGCTCCAGGTTTCCCCATTCAACTCTTACCTCTCCATAGTAATTTGTGCACCACTGCAGCCTGAGGAAACCTTCTAAAATACAAGTCTGATCATGTTATCTTCCAATGCAAAGGCTCTCAATGGCTTCCCAAAAGCCTTAGAGAAAATGTAAAATATTTTAAGTGGCTCAAAGTCCTTCCTGATCTGGCACTTGCTTACCTCTCCACTTTCATTTCACTTCAATCGTCTCCTGGCATTAAATGTTAACGAACATCAAATTTACTCATTTCTTCTCAAGGGACCTCAGCCTGGACCCCTTAAATTAACTTATGTTCCTCTTTAGCCTTTACCTTAAATGTCGCTTTCTCTGAAAAACTTTTCCTAACTCCTCAATTCTGTGTTATGTGTTCCTCATATGTATTTTTTCAGTAGGGCATTTGTTACAGCACTGAAACTACTCTGTATACTATTATGGTGGATATATATCATTATACATTTGTCCAAACCCATAGAATGTACAACACCTAGAGTGAACCCTAATGTAAACTACAGGCTTTAGGTAATTATGATTTGTCAATGTAGGTTCATCAATTACAACAAATTTATCACTTGGTGGAGGATGATGATAATGGAGGAGTGATGCAAGTTTGGGGAATATTTAGGGTTAAATTTCTGTATCTTTTTATTTTACTGTGAACCTAAAACTATTTAAAAAATGAAGTCTTGGGATCCCTGGGTGGCGCAGCGGTTTAGCGCCTGCCTTTGGCCCAGGGCGCGATCCTGGAGACCCGGGATCGAATCCCACGTCGGGCTCCCGGTGCATGGAGCCTGCTTCTCCCTCTGCCCGTGTCTCTGCCTCTCTCTCTCTCTCTCTGTGTGACTATCATAAATAAATAAAAATTTAAAAAAAATGAAGTCTTAAAAAAAGGACATAACGCACATATTTGCTTACACACATATTTTTAAATATTATTTCTACATAAAAGAACTTTAAGGAATTAATAGCAATTACTGGTGGAGTCTGCATAATTTCCAGGTGTTGGAAAGGAAAAGGAAAAGCACTTTCATATATTCAAAAGTGGAGTTCTTAATTAAACCAACATTTAGTGAGTGCCTAAAACTAGGAGAGTCACCAGGAATGTAATGGTGAAGTCAACATATATATGGTTCCTGTGCCCACAGAGTTTATAGTCTAGAGGTGGCATCACAATTACAGGAATAAAAGAAAACAAAGACCTGCTGAAACAAAGATTATGAGGAAGTCAAAAGGGAGACTTTTAGATAGACGGTGATTAAGGACTTTCTTAGAAGCCACATTTATAAGAACCTCTTCAAGGATAAAAAGGAGCCAACCTTATCAAGAGCTAGGAACAGAGCCTCCAGACAGAGGAACAGCCTGTTAAAAAAAAAAAAAAAGACTTGGTGGAAGAAGATCAACAAGACTGGGGATTATAGTTCTCAAGGTGAAGACAGCAGGAGTCCATCATTCAGGATTTTTATAGATCATTGGTAGTAGAAGAAGCACCCATTTAAGAATTTAAAGCAGTGGAGTGACATTTATATGTAAAGGGATTTAGGGTTTACAAAGGACGTTTACATTTATTTTTATTTTAGATTTAAATTTAATTTAGTTAACATATACTGTATTATTAGTTACAAGGGTGGAATTTAGTGATTCATCAGTTGCATACAACACCCAGTGCTCAATACATCAAGCAGCCACCACTCAATTAACCCATGCCCCCACGGACCTCCCCTCCAGCAACCCTCAGTTTCCTGTAGTTAACAGTCTCTTATGGGGAGTGGGGGGTGGGGCGCCTAGGTGGCTCATTTAAGTATGTCCCTTTAACTCAGGTCATGATCCCAGGGTCCTGGGATCAAATCCTCATCCGGCTCCCTGCTCAGCAGACAGTCTGCTTTTCCCTCTTTTCTCTCCCCCTCCCCACTGCTCATGCTCTGTCTTGCTAGCTTTCTCTCTCAAATAAACAAAATCTTTCAACAACAAAAAAAAAGTCTCTTATGGTTTGCCTCCCTTTGTTTTTATCTTATTTTTTCTTCCCTTCCCATATGTTCATCTGTATTGTTTCTTAATATTGTTTCTTAATTGTTTCTTAATCTGTATTGTTTCTTAATCTGTATTGTTTTCTTAAATTCCACATGAGTGAAATCATATGGTATTTATCATTCTGACTTATTTTGCTTAGCATAATACCATCTAGTTATATCCACATCACTGCAAATGGCAAGATTTCATTCTTTTGATGACTAATATTCATATATATAGATGAATATATATATGTGTGTGTGTGTGTGTATATTATATATATATATATAAACATCTTTATCCATTTATCTGTTGATGGACATCCGGGCTTTTTCCATGTTTTGGCTATTGTAGACAGTACTGCTATAAACATTGGGGTGCATGTGCCCCTTCAAATCACTATGTTTGTATGTTTTGGATAAATATCTAGTAGTACAATTGTTGAATGGTAGGGCAGTTCTATTTTTAAGTTTTTGAGGAAACTCCATACTGTTTTCCAGAGTGGCCGCACCAGTCTACATTCCTACCTACAGTGTAAGGGGTTCCCCTTTCTTCATATCCTCTCCAACACCTATTGTTTCCTGAGTTGTTAATTTTAGCCATTCTAACTGATGGTAGTTTTGACTTGTATTTCCCTGCCAAGTGATATTTACATTTTTAAAATGATAGACTCTGGGTGGTATGTGACCTATTCAGTGAAATGAACCTAGACTTACTTGCCCTAGTAAAGCCAATTATTCTTTGCCATAGATGAGGAAACTGAAGCTTAGAGAGGTTATATTCACTGACTAGATCATACAGTCGAACCCAGCCAGGAGTCCAAAACCTGAGCTCTCTCCCATCTACCACAGTTACCAAAGAACCTTGCTCTCACTTACTCACCCATTCAGCCCCATTGAATCAAAAGTGCACTGGTTTCACAACTGTCCTCCTGAAACAATAAAAAACAAAAGCATGTGGTGATTTTTAAATGTGTCCACAATTTTTTTTTTTAACTAGGAAGCCAGTCTAATTCTCCCTCCCTTAAATGACTTAAAAGTTCTTCTGTTTCCCACACTGATTTTTTTTTTTTTACCACTTGAATGCTATATTTATGCTCCCTTTTTGTGGCAGAATTTCTCCATGGGATTTCATTTGCAGTTTTTAAAAACACCTTTTTGAGATATAATTTATATGCCATACAACTCATCTAAAGAACATTTCTGTTTTTAAAATAACTTTGGGGGATGCCTGGCCAGCTCAGGTGGAGTGTGCAACTCTTGATCTTGGCTTGTGAGTTCAAGCCTCATGTTAGATGTGGAGATTACTTAAAAATAAAATCTAAAAAAATAATAACTGGGGCACCTGGGTGGCTCAGTGGTTGAGCGTTTGCCTTTAGTTCAGGTCCTGATCCCGGGGTCCTGGGATCAACTCCTGCATCAGGCTCCCCAGAGGGAGCCTGCTTCTCCCTCTGCCTATGTCTCTGCCTCTCTGTGCCTCTCATGAATAAAATCTTAAAAAATAATAATAATTTTTGAACTTGGGAGATATCAAATTTAGCCCACAATTAGTACAACTGGCTTTTCTTGAATTTGTTCACCTGGTATAAATACTTAGCAGTTTCCTCAGCTCATTCATTTCATCAACCTGACACAGATGGGCAGGGAGTAGGCCTTAAGGAACTGTCATACAGCTGAGAAAAGGATCTTAGGAGACTATTTTTCCTGCCTTTGGCCTCATCTCTAAATCTTGGTCATATAAATTTGGTAAGGACTTCATCATGTAGAAGTAAGCCAACTGTGATATTAAAAGGCTTAATCACAGAAGAAGGAAAAAACATATTTACATAAATATTCTTATAAGTAATATATAAGTTATATATAGTTTATCACTGCTGTTTTGGCCTCAAAACACATGTACCTACCTTCCTTTTTCCTATAACATATTAGTATGGCTTTTCAAACTTTATATGGTTCTGACAATAGTGCATGGTCCTTCTGGAAAGAACAGTTACAACTGAATTTCTTTCAATCTGGTCTAAAAATAACTAAATAAATAAAAATTAATTAATTAATTAATTAATTAATTAATTCTGGTCTAAAGTATATTGTTCCTGGAAGGCATTCTCTGAAACCTATTGCATAAATTAGGGGTTATTTATGTTTTCATCACCTTGATAAAGTTATCTTCATTACTTTTGTTTTTATTTTGTATTGTTGTTGTTGTTGTTAATTCATTATTCTTTCAGTAGGGATGGTTAACGCGGAAGACTAATGGGTATAAACCTATAGTTGTAATGTCTTCTTTCCTGGAGAACTATTTACTTTGAACAAATGCTCAAATTTACCGTGAAGCTGGATAAAATCTGGTTTTACTCAAATTCTCATCCACTAGACTTTGAGCTGTGTGACTTGTTACTTCATGAAATTTATCACATTCAATTTTCTTGTCAAATTATCTATACTTTTCAAGAATTATTAAAATGCACCTAAGGATTTGACACCCATGATAATATTCAAAAGAAATGTACCAAAAAAAAATGTACCATCTTTTTTTTCCCAATATGTTTTGAGTACCACTTTCAGAAAAAGCGTTCTCTTCAAGTGATTATTTTATTTTTAAAGATGTATTTATTTATTCATGAGACACATAGAGAAAGAGGCAGAGACACAGGCAGAGGGAGAAGCAGGCTCCTTGCAGGGAGCCTGATACAGGACTTGATCCCCAGACTCCAGGATCACACCCTGAGCTGAAGGCAGATGCTGGACGGCTAAGCCACCAGGTGTCCCTTCAAGTAATTACTTTAAGAAAGTAGTACTTATTTGGATTTTAAAATATTTTAAGTTTTTTTTCAGTTAGCTTAATTTATCATGCTAATCTTTTTTTATTTATGTTACAGACATAAAACGTAACACCTTGGGCAGCCTGGGTGGCTCATCAGTTTGTGCCGCCTTTGGCCCAGGGCGTGATCCTGGAGACCTGGGATCGAGTCCTGCATCGGCTCCCTGCATGAAGCCCGCTTCTCCCTCTGCCTGAGCCTCTGCCCCCCGCCCCTCTCTATCACTCATGAATAAATAAATAAAAAAAAACTAAAAAAAAAAAAAAAAAAGACACAAACACTGATGCAAATATTGCAATGCTGAGAAGGACCAGATATCAAATGTAGTTGAATCATGATCACTTCAAAGCTGTAAGATGCTAAGGTGAATAATGGGCATTTCATCTAAAACAACCATATCTCAATCCCTGCTGACTTCTACCCTGAAATAATATGGACCCAATGCTGTCTGTACTAACTCTTCAGGAGTCATTAGTCACTGAAATTTCAATAAAATCTCCCCATTTTTAGGGGCTCCTCTGTGGGTCAATTAAGCATCTGACTTCAGCTCAGGTCATTATCTCAGTGTCCCAGGTCTGTGTGGAGCTCCCTCATGTAGCCCTGGAGTCCAGTCTCCATGTCAGGTTCCCCACTCAGCGGGGAGTCTGCATGTCCCTCTCCTTCTCAACCTGCCTCCTGCCTCCCCTCCCCAGTCCTGCTCTCTTTCAAGTAATTAAAAAAATCTTAAAAATATTTCCCATTTTTATACATTAGCAATTAATTTTTTAAAACTTTAAATAATGTCTGAAATCCCACTTGCAACCTCTGGTCTAAAGATGTTCAAGTGAAGTACAGCTTTTTAAAGTCCTTAGCATAAACAATATATGTTGCCAGAAACAAGGAAGGGAACTCACAGAACAACAAAAAGTACCCTGTTTAAAATAAAAAGTACCTATTCACTCCAGCAATAAAAACAACTCTTATGAAAAATGGAAGTCTGAAATAATAATGCTTTCTACCAAGAAGTTCAGAATATCATGGCTAGTACTGTTAACTAGATAAATTTAATTCATTTGTTTCTTATTCAAGGGAATATTCCCATTTCTCATTTCAAATCCAAATGAGTAATTTAATGTATTATCCTAGGAAAATGAGCAGCATTTAAAATGAAAGATTATTCCACATTAGATAATGCAAGCATTCATATGACACACAGATGGGTTTATACAGGAAAAAAGGCCTATGATATATAAAATTACAAGGCCACAAGCTGAGAATGTAGCTGCTTCTGACACCGAGCTAGGTTATGGGCACAGACAATGCAAATTTCATTTAAAAGCATCTAGTCAAAGACTTAATACTAATATTGGTAAAGTTTTCTTTTATTTTTTTTAAGATTTTATTTATTTATTTATTCGAGAGAGAGAGAGGGGGGCAGAGACACAGGCAGAGGGAGAAACAGGCTCCATGCAGGGAGCCTGACATGGGACTCAATCCCGGGTCTCCAGGATCATGCCCTGGGCTGAAGGCGGCGCTAAATCACTGAGCCACACGGGCTGCCCGGTAAAGTTTTCTTATTAGGAAGTGATATCATTAAACTTCCCTTGAGCAAGCAAAGCAGCCAACAGAGAGGAAGGAGGGAACTAGAGTTGTAATGGTTATATAAATAAAGTCTGAATTCTCTTCCTGTACTTCCCACTAACTTACTGATAAGCTACACAAGGCAGTACCAAATCTCACAAGAGTGCTTGCTAGGCTCTATTTAGATCTTATGTAACATGTCATTGTATTTGTATTCCTTTTTCTCAACTCAATTACCCTGAACAGTAACTATCTTCCACCTTCTGAAATCCTTATTCTAGAACATATTTTTCTTCTCTCATGGAACGTAAAGGATTATAACAGGAAGGTTTCCATATTCAGCTTTCTCATTCTTAGTTTTATGCGTGAACTCGGTACATCTGATTCTCCCAGAGGTGCTGAGCTAAGCCTTTTTCATCTCAGATACATACTATATATACTCTTACTTGATCCTTGCAAACCAATATTTATTTTGTGTTTTTATTTTTTAAACATTGTTGTCAATTGTAATGGTATAATGGCTACAGTCCTTTTTTTTTTAAGATTTTATTTTTGAGAGAGAAATAGCAAAAGAGAGCATGAGTTGTGGGGAGAAGCAAAGGGAGAAGGACAAGCAGGCTACCTGCTGATCATGGAACCCAACATGCAGCTTGATCTTGGGACCCTGGGATCATAACCGGGGCCAAAGGCAGACACTTAACTGACTGAGCCACCCAGGTGCCCTGCAAAGTAAGGTTTAAAACTCACTCTAAAATATGATAGGAATACAAAAAGCATTTCACATTATTTTCACATTATTTCACTATAATCTTCCACTTGCTTTTGTCATGAATGAGTCTTCATTTTTCACTGTTATCTATTGGTAACATGAAGGGCTGCTATTAAAAATCTGACAGCATAGGGGCGCTTGGGTGGCTCGGCGGTTGATCGGCTGCCTTCGGCTGGGGATCTGATCCTGGAGACCTGGGATCAAGTCCCACATCGTGCTCCCTGCATGGAGCCTGCTTCTCCCTCTACCTGTGTCTGCCTCTCTTTCTCTCATGAATAAATAAATAAATCTTTTAAAAAAGAATTTGACAGCATTATAAATACAAACACTGCTCTAACTTTTTTATCTAACTTTTGTCCAGTTTCAAATAACTATTTGTTAATCATTGGCTAAACATATAGGCAACTTCACTCATCTGATTAGAATGTTTAAAGTTTTATTTATCCCCCTTTCCTTCAAAAGGCCATTATCTGCTTATTCTCTCATTTTGTAGCTTACTTGGTAATGCAAAAGGAGTAATTTCTTTCTATATTTTTTAAGGTTTTATTTATTTATTTATTTATTTATTTATTTATTTATTTATTTATTTATTTATTTATTTATTTATTTAGAGACAGAGAAAGAGCACTAGAGAAACAGCATGAGTGAGGGGTGGGGGATGGAGAAGCAGACTCCCCACTGAGCAGGAGCCCCAATGCTGCTGCGAGGCTCCTTCGTAGAACCCTAGTATCATGACCTGAGCCAAAGGCAGATGCTTAACCAAATGAGCCACCCAGGTGTCCCT